TCAGGGCTTGGGGAAAATGGGCCGAAGTTCGATATCCCACAAAAGCAAACTCCTCTTCCCTCTCCTGACTTCCCAGCAGCAGTTCCTGCATCACTTCCCCCTCGCTGCTCCTGGGGCGCAGAAACAACGCTCCGGGGATGTCTATTCTACACAGCTTTTAGCCTCAAGGCTGTGGCGACACAACCCTGCCGCTACAAGTCAGCCGGTGTGAACGTTGTTGGCACGTTTGCTTACAACATACTTCTTCCTCCTACGGGGGCTGCTGCCGACAAAGCTGCTTTCACACTTCGCACACTTGTTGCGGCAAAACTTAGTCGTTCATGGCTGGGGGGCAGGGAGTGAGCGTTTCAGCACCCGTGAACGAGCAGAGTTTTGTTGATCGAGTGCAAGTGTAGCCATGCCCTTAGTATTGGAGCCTTTCACAGAAGTGAGTCCGTTGCCCTCCCTTTTCCATAAGGATCTTAGAGTGTAATTGAATAGTCGTATAACGTTAGCAGTTACATGACTATACAATAGTTCCCAGGGGCGGGGCCGGCAGCCCGTGCGCTCCCAATCCCACTTATGGGGAACCCCCTGGCACCCCACACTGTTGCCTCTCTATTAGAGGCAGCCACGTGGGGTGGCAGGTGGGAGCCAGTCTGCGAAGGGAGCCAGTTTAAAAACCGGCTCCCCACGCATATTGGTTGCCTGTCACTCCAGGCGGCTGTCTCTGATAGAGGCAGCAGGGCGGAAGGGGGGGAGAAAGGTGCCACCAGCTCCTGCCTGCCCGCCCCCCGGCAGCCGGGGGAGGGGAGAGGTGGGTCCCCGGAGCCGGCACACACAAGGAGCCACTTAACAGCTGGCTCCCCGCCTGTATCAGCCTGCCCCCTCACCTGTGCTCTGCTGCCTCTCTATCAGATGCAGCAGCGCTGGGGTTGGGGGTACCGGTTCCCATCTTCCCCCCTCTTGCTGCCTCTGATTCAGTGACAGCAGGGGAGGACTGTGTGTATTCGACAGGCTTATCAGTTAATTGTGTAGTTGTCTACACACTGACATCCCTAGTTTCCAAATGGGGAAACTGAGGTACTTAGTGTGAGCCTGGGCAAGTCACAGACCCTGACAGTGGTGGAACCGGGCAGGTGATTTGGTCAGGATGAGTGAGAAGCTGCCGTTGTCCCTGATGAGCAGTGTTGCCATGTCACCTTGGATTAGCCCTGCTCCCGTTTCTCCAGAGTGATGCTCAGACACCAGAACAGCAGCAGCTCCCTGGGAAACGCTTCCAGCTCTGGGCAGCTGTTACATGTCTCGATGCACAAGGCAGAACAGGACTCGGCTCAGTCCCAAGTGCAGACTCTTGTGGCCAGAACGGACCCAGGGTGGCTCCCGGGTCCCCTGAGCGTCCGCGTGGGAAGCCCTCCAGCCGCATGCAGCTGCTCGACCGTAGTGTTGTGTAGATACTCGCGATAGTAACGGGAGGGGCTTTTTGGTCTCTGGAATAATCCACCTCTCTGAGATGTGGTAGCCAGGTTTCCACCTGGTGGTGTCCACACTGAGGTATCGGTGAGCTTAATGACGCCACAGAGAGTGTGACGGCCACCCTGCCTGTAGTGCAGGTCCCCTACCGCCCTCCCCCCAGGGCTCGTGAGCAGAGCAGCACTCAAATGGAAGCCGTTGGGAGAATCAGCGGTTGGTGTAGCGTGACCCCTTTCCATCTGCACAGGAGTGAAAAAGGTGACTCTGAAACTCTAGGGCAGGGGGTGAACACTAGTCAACACTGGGTCTGTGTCCCTGGGGGTCGATCCAGTCCTGCCCAGCTTGGGTGGTGTGACGTCCTTGCTGAACGTGACCGGCGTGGAGGGTGCTCCTGCAGTGTGCAGTTACACCCAGTGCTTGTCTGTGCTTCCGCCCCAGAGATCCCTGCCGAGGCTTGGGGTGTGGGTGCAGAGGAGCAAGGGCCCTTGGCCAGCCTGCCTTGGGTGAGGGTTTGAGATTCCAAGTCTGTCCTCCTTGCAGTGGCTTGGCTTTGTAACAGCTGGAATGACACGGAGGATCTGCGTGCGTGATGGGCATCTGCGGCTCCTATTGACTTCCGGGGGTGTGGGCCCTCTGAAAATCAGGGCAAAATTCTGTCCCGCCCACGCTCTAGGGACACACACCTTTACCTAGTTCCTAAAGCTCAAAGTGTAACCCTGTTAATTTAAATACCCCCCTTACCCAATTCCTAGGGCTCAGGGCGTAACTTCCTGCGGGGCTGCAGGATCTTTCACCCGTGCAAGAGCCTTACACAGTAATAGCCTTGCTGTATATACTAGCAAATACCAAGCAACCAGCATACACATGCTCGGCACACAGGGCCTCGCAAATTCCCCCTGCTGGCCAGGCCGGGGCAGTCTCTCTGGATTCTGGTTATTGCACCTCACGGTCATGCAGAAAACTCTTGGCAGCTCTGATTTCAGTCTGTCTTTGAGGTGAATTCTCCCAGGTCTTTCCTCCTCCTTTCTGGTCCTTTCTTTCTGATCTCCTTGGATCCCAGCTGATAGTGAAACGTGAGGCCTGCTTAGCTAAACCATAACCAGTTATTTTACTAAAATGTTACCAACCAATCTTAACCTATTGTAACATAATTCTCTACCCAGTTATAGCCCACCACTGTAATTGATTTACACCTAGAAAAATTAATTAGACAGCAGACAGAAACAATTAAAACCAGACAGATCATACAGACAAACGAGGACCGTGGGGACCATGATAACAGAATGAGGGTTTCACAGCCACAGCTATTGATAAAGACTTTTCTTGCCTGACTAAATCCTATTAAACAACGTTTTCTTTGCCCATCTTGAGATGTTTCTTTATCTGGAGACAGTGGGGGCCATTAGCTCAGGGTTTCCTTCTAAACAGCCTGGTGTGACACTGTTTTAATACAGTTTAGATGGAATGTTGGGTGTGTAACTCCCTGCTTTTCAGTTCACGGCTGCTGCTCTTCCAGTCTGGTTGCAAATGAAGTACTTCCAATGTGGAGAAAAAAGGCCTTATCTTTACATGGTATGGGCCTAAGTAGACACCTGAAATCTCCCCCCCCCCCCCCCCCCCCCCCCCCACAACTACCCACACAGCGCCAACTGATCTTGGTCTTAGCAACTTCCGTTGGTGCTGTTAAAATCATGTTATGCTGACACTGTGGTGCTAGACTCGAGTCTGGTGCCCTGCCATCCGGGGAAGATTTTCTCTCTGAAGAAGGAGTCTAAACTGCTCTAAAGGTTTAATAGAAATTTAACTCCTAGCGAGGAAAATATTTTTTCTTGCTTGCTTGCATGAAGAAACTATAAGTCCAGTTACCAGCCTAGTGCAGGCTGGTACAAGTCATGAACAAAAAATTAATTGCTAGTCAGTAAGCAATAAATCATTCACCATTTTGGAACATTTTACAAATTAATTAAACAAGATAGTGGCTTAAAATGAACCTGCATAGTTATAGATAGCAGATCCTCCTAAGCAGCAAAGTGATGGACCAGATCTGGTGTAGAAATGCTACTGAGTTGTAAATCAACACGTGTTAATAGTTAGAACAGATCAGCCAATTAGGATGTACTTTTGTTTAGAAGAGAGCCAAAGTCCCAGTGGCAAAGACAAGTTAAACCTGTCTGAGACAAACTTAAACAATAACAAATGGTCTGGTAGCACTTTATAGACTAACAAAACATGTAGATGGGATCATGAGCTTTCATGGGCACAGCCAGTCTTCATAGTCTATAAAGTGCTACCAGACCATTTGTTGTTTTTTAAGTTTATCCTGTACAGACTAACTTGGCTACCCCCTGAAGCCTGTCTGTGACAGGCAGGTTTTGCATTGAGTGATTGAAATCAGTAGAGCTCTGCGTGGATACAAAAGTTGTATCCACAGCGGCAAAAATGAGCTGCGGGTATCTGCCTCCATGTCCACGGATTTGCAGGGCTCTATACATCAGTCCACGGGGCTGGGTATTATCTCTAGGCCGGGAAGGGTGAAGTGTCACTTTCACCCTGTGTTAACACAAGACCTTTCTTTACACTTACTCAGCCCTTGCAAAACGCTCGCCTCTGCAACTGCAGTTGTGGCCCTATGACCTGCTCCTTCAACTCTGTTAGCTTCACTTTGCCTGAGTAAAGGCTGCAAGATTGTCTTAATGTATTGGTCCCTTGTTATGCGCAAAGGCCTATGGCTAAGACAGGTTATGAATAAAATGATTTGGGAGTCCATGTGGATTATCTGCCACAGGTGGCAGGCAGGTGCTTCCATATTGCGCCTTTCCTGGAGCGCATAGATAGTGGTGGGGATAACAAAATGCTCTGCAGGCTGGATTGCAGGGGATGGGGGGGCTTTGCTGTCGTGCCATAGGTATAGAATTGCACATTTGTGCCGTAGAGCAGCCATGTTGATCTTCCAGCATAAAACTGGGCCAAGCATAATGCTTCTGTGGCTTCAGAACTGACAAACCCTGAGCATTTGTGTGAATGGCTCCGTGCAACTCATAAGTGCTGAATCGATGAGCATCGCTCTTGCAAACCTGCTCCTAATTGCCTGCGGGCTGTGGAACTGGTTTAGAAGCAGCTGCGTTTGTAGCCATTTAGATTTAAGAAAACACACAGCCAACTGTTTCCTGCCTGCATCGCTTCTCTCTTGTGAGACCATCTCACCGGGTGGAATGCCATTAAACAGTTCCCATAATGTTACTGTTGTAGTTACACAAAATGAGTTGCGCTGCACGCCTGCTCCTTGCCCTGCGTCGTCTGGATTATAAACTGGTCCATCTCTGCTTGGCCCCTGCCTAGGAAAGCCCTACAGATATTGACTGTGTCCAATATTGACAGGAGCCTGGTTTTGTGAGGTTGCATGAAAGGATGAGACCGAACTCTCCCCCTTGTGAAAGAGAAGGATGCGAGAGACTGTAGAGGCCAGCACTGCCTTCCAGCCGGTGAATCACTACTAGAGAGTGCAGGTACAGGGAGGCAGGCAAACCGGACTGTAGAGGCCAGCATTGCCTTCCAGCTGGTGAATCACTACTAGAAAGTGCAGGTACAGGGAGGCAGGCAAACCAGCATGTCCAGTCCCTTGTGGCCTATGGGATAAAAACCAAAGGCTAGCAAATGGAACGAGCTAAAGGCCAAGGAGCTCCCTGGAACAAGAAGGACTGTGAAGGGATCTTGAGACATGCTCCAGAGACAGCTCGTCCTTACTGGAGAAAGCTGGGTGGGAATGACTCAAACCAATGAGAATAGAACGCATGGGAATGAGGAAGAGCAGTCTACAAACCAGTGCACAAGTGTCTACACTGTGATGTCATAGCCTGCAGCAGGGTCAGCTGTCGTGAACTGGCCTTGGTGTTCATTACAGTGTGGACATGTGCTGAGAGCGAGTGGCAGCAGCACTGGCTGGGTCTGGCCAGCCTGGGGCCGAAGAAAAGATCACCAGCGAGGGGGCAGGAGGTGAAGTTCCCTGCAGCACCGTGCCCAGGCAGGAGGGGGATCCCTAGAGGCGAAGATGTTCTCATACAGACCCGTAGCACCAGAGCTCTGGAAATCCGCGGGTATGTGCTTTATGTTCGTGAATGCAGCTGTGGCTGTCCGCTGCTCATTTTTGTGGCTACAGATACAAATTTTGTAGATAGAAACCTGCAAATTTGTAGATATCCACTTTATACGTATGTGGATGAATCTGATATTCACAGATCACTTTTGCATATACGGATGCAGATACAGTTTTTGTCTCCACGTAGGGCTCTGCTTAGCACCTTTTGAAAATCCTGTCAGCCTAGCCAGTAGCATCTCTTGTTTCTGCATTGCTCAGCGCGGATTCTGATTTTATTTGACATTCTCTTTGCCTGGTAGATTCGCCTCTTGCACCTAACTTCTGCTCTGAAACAGTTTTCCTTTCCTGTACCACTAGATGGACTACACAATAGCTCTTTTCTCTTTCTGATTGTGTGAGTTTAATTTATTCAAAACGTACAAGTAACTATTAAAGCTCTTAGTGGCAGGGGAAGTTAGATCATCAGCATTTGCTAAAGAAATGTCACTTTTAATTGAATTATAAGCTACGAACTTGAATCAAACATAAGGTCCTTTTTCCTCTTGTAGCATATTGTTTGGTTGGCGGCGTGGGTGGTGCCATCAAATGCATCTCCCTTTCCCTTCCCCAGATGCCTTTATGGGGTCACACAGTCTAACCCTCAGCTCTCGATTCTGCCTCCATTTCCTGTTGTCAGTGAAACAATCAGGAGAGAATTTTTAAAAAATAAAATGTAGTTAAGAAAAGTCCTCTTGTTAGTTTCCGTCACATGCATTCCCATCCCTCTCTGTGCCTCAGGGGTTGTTCTGTGGGATGGGGGGAGGGAAATCCCTAAGCCTTTATGGGAGGGGTGTTTCCTGCCTTCGGGTTTGCTGTTTCCTTTGCTTCTGTTTGATATGATGACCGGATTCCTTGATCCTGCTGACATGTTTCCTTTGTGAAATGAAGAAAGTTAAGATTTCTGGAAAGCTGTTAACACTCTGCTCAACTCGCCAGTCCTCCAGTGGGCCAAAGCTCCTGCTCAGGTGCAGAGTGGTTTTTAACAAACCTTGAACTAATAAATGCACCATCAGTGTGTCTGGGTTGTTAATAATTCATGGTGAGTGTCTGAGTCCTGTCGGGCTGAAGCAGGTATGTCTGCACTCAGAGATGGGCCCACGTGTCTGAGAAGCTCTGAATTTTAAAGGATTTATGATCCATTTTTAAAAGCCCAGCTGACCCTATATTCTGAGACATTGTGCAGAGTAAATGAGTTATGTAGCAGCCATGGTGCTCTTCAGAAACAGAATTGGGAATGTTGAACTTCCAGATTGGGTCTAGACTATTGGGTCGGGGATCTGGAATACTTTGGGGAGGTGGAAGAAGGAAAGTATGGAAGTGGTTTAATCTTGTGAATGGTCCAAAAGCTACTGTAGCTATCTCCGGCAATCAGCCTGACATTAGAAGGGTTGGAAATTTCCACTCTGATCTGCAGTTCAAAGCCACTGCCCTCCCTGAGGATGAAATGTTTGCTTCATCTTAGTTTGCAAATGCAAACAAGCCGCAGAAGCATTGTAGCTATAACACGTGCATCTGGCCCAGTACCCAAATCCCTTTGAAAATGAGGAACTGTGCATAGGACACATGAAAGGCACTGCTGCATCTCCAGTGAACAGTCCTGAGTGGCTTATAAAGGATCAGTACTGAATTCTGTAGAAAACTAGTTATTTCTCTTTGCAGCACATCTGGATCCACAGATATCTGGAAAATGCAGGCTTCTTCCTGCATGGGTTTGAACTGCGCAGGTTCTCCAGGGCTAAGCACAGTTGATCACTAAAATCCTATGGGCTTTTGAAGTTTGGACTCGTTATTCTTCACAAGGGTGAGGGAAATGACTTGTTCTTTAGAAGTGCTTGCAAATAGACCACATCTGATTTGGGTTTATTGGGCAGATGAATGAGGGTATCAGCTTTTCGGTGCGTTCTGACTGGCTACCATAAAGCATCTCTGTCAAAGGAAGCCGGGTTGCTTTTGCCATCCGAAAAACACTTCCCCATTCTGAGCTCTTGATTTTGTAGGTGGCAGCTGAAGAAAATGGGAAGATGCTACTTTTGCTTGTGTATATATAAAAGACAAACACGGCACATTTGTCTTTTTCTCTGGCTTACCTGGAGAGCATGGCGGTATTCTGTGTTACAGTCTATTCGGTGCCTTTGCATGGTGTCCTGCTTTGGGGGTCTCAGTTGCTTCCACCACAAACCAGAGGCTGAACTGTATGAAACCCTTAACCAAGTTTTTTGTTTGGAAACTGATCTTCATGTTTAATAAAGAACACGGGAAAAGAAATGCTGGAAATCAGCTATCTAAACTACTTTGTGTTAGAAGGGTGCGTTTTCCATAAGGCATAGTCTTAACATTAAGGATCTGTAAGCATTGCTCTGAGAAACTCCGTTTTGTAACAGCTGTGTTGACTGTCTTTGTGAACGTAACACAAGATGTCTGCTTTTCGTATGACTCCAAGATCTAGATTACTTCAGCATTCCTTCTTGGAGTTCTCTCCTTGTTGCTCTTGGCATAAAGTAACCATGCTCCAACAGGTGGTTTTTGAGCTCAGTTGAATTCGGTGGGTCTTAATTTTAAAATTGACCTTTGCCGAGGTGTTTGCGGTGGTGGTGTTGTAGCTGTGTTGGTTGCGGGATGTTAGAGACACTTTTCCCAGACCTGAGGAAAGAGCTGTGTCGCTTCAAAGCTTATGTCTTCCAGCTGCAGAAGTTGGTCCAATAAAAGATGTTAATTCGCCTACCTTGCCAAGTAGTTAATTCATAATGTAGATTAGGCCACACGGTAAAATGAAGTAACTTGTCCGCTAGCAATTGAGCTTCCTTTTCTCCCCCAGTTGCTTTAGCTTCGACTCTCTGCCTTTTTTTTTTTTCTTCTAGCACAGAACCTTTATTTAAAAGTCTGTTTTGGTATCCTGGGGTTTCTGCTCTGGCATGTGCCGTGCAAAGCGTTCAGAGATTAAAGTGCATCTGTGAAAACTGTT